TCCTGAGTTCAATTCCCAGCAACCACATGGTTGCTCACAACCATCTGTAATGGGGTCTGGTGCCCTCTTTCGGCCTGCAGGCATACACACAGACAGAATATTGTATACATAATAAATAAATAAACAAACAAACAAACAGACCAATTGTTTGCAAACTTTCTGAAGTAAATCTAGCCATGAGTTATGTTACCTGTATGCATCAGGTTGTCCTAGAATTTAGGTGTGCATATATAAATAGAACGCAATGGCTGCCCAAGACAAAGTTTTATAATGATGAAGACAGAAATTAATGAAACATCAGCATACAATAGCATTTAATATGATCAATGATGTGATCGGCTGTAAGGCGGCAGGTTAGAACTACCAGAGATCTTGACTTGATAATAATGTGCCTTGTGTAACTGTAATTGACCAATTTCCCAGAACTTCCACATTACTTCATTTTATTACAACAACTACCCTAGAAGCTTAAGTTAGAAAGAAGACTCACCAGCCATTCGGGAAGCAGACAAAGACAGACTATGACTTGCTCAGAGTCACATCAAGTAACTTCAATGTTGGGACAAGAAAATGTACCCCTTGCATCAAGGTCCAACACTTCTGACTCTGTGCCTCACCTTATGACCTTGGACAAGTCACTCTACATTCACTCTTCAGTCTCCTGTCTCTAAAACAGTGCCTATCGAAAGTGACTAGAGAGAGAGAGCGAATAGGGCAGTCTAAGTTAACACACTTCAGGACATACGAATAAAGGTATATGTTAAGATATGCCTGTTTCTCTGGAGAAAAACAGGGTACAGGGATGGTACCAGTGTGCTGAGCAAATAAAATGTTACCGGACAGAAGGATCACTTTTGTTAATTCTCTTGTAGTCTCAATGACTCCACAAGGCAAACATCCATTAAGCCGCAACAAAAAAAAAAAAAAAAAAAAGGAATGGACTCACCTATGCACCAGACTGTAACTGGTATGGATCCTATCAAGCACCTGAATTACAAGAGAGAGACAGGTTCTGCCTGCATTTCTTCACAAAGATGAAAACAGATGCGTTTTGCTAGTCTATGAAAGAAAATGTGAATACACTGCCTGCTCCCAGTCAGCAACATCATAACTATCATCTATCTCTAGCCTGATATTCCCAGTATCATATCTACTGGCATGGGTAACTATAAATTTAGAACTCAGTTCTTTAATTGCATTAAAAGTGTTTAGTAGGCACACAAAACTAGTAAACAATGCACTAGACTGATCAGACATGACAGATAATCCTATTTCACAGGGCTGCTTAAGATACTATACTTTTATTTTATCACAATTCTAGAACTTCTTAAGAACAGAAACTATGTCTTATATTCAGTATCTCCAGTTTATATAACAAAATGAGTATCACACACCAAACATTCACTACATACAGTTCTAACTGGTTAACTTAAAATACAGAAGATAACTCTACCCACTTTTCCCATCCCCAATTTTCTCTCATAGGAGGAACATCTCACATGAGGGACAGCAGGGATGAAGTGGAACAGGACACTGAGGCCCATTTTTCAGTCCTGGGTGTACCAGATCACCATGTAGCTTGAAGCACAGTAATTCGTCTATAAAAAGTTAAACTTAACTATGTAGACACTAATTTTAAAACTCCATCTTGGGAGAGGGAGGTGAAACAGATTTTCACTCTATAACCCAGACTGGTCTCAAAGTTGACCCAATCCTCCTGCCTTAGCTGAGATTACAGTTGTGAGCAAAACATCCAGTTTAAAACTATTTTACACTGCCAGGTGGTGGTGGCACATGCCTTTAATCCCAGGACTTGGGAGGCAGAGGCAGGTAGACCTCTGTGAGTTCCAGGCCAGCCAGGACTGTTTCACAGAGAAACCCTGGGGGGTGGGGGAACCTATCTTATACCATAATAAATCATTCATTCAGTCTAAAAGACCTTTGTATGTGTCAAGAACACACTGATAGGTACCTCAAATTAGAATTCTTGCCAAAGTCATAGATTATTGTGATTAGAGCTACTTTTGGCCTCTAACTGAGCATGGGAATGGCTTCATCCATACACCGAAAGACAACTAAAGAATTAAACCTTAAGTTTAAAAAAACTGAGTTTCTTCCAAGTGCCAAGACCAGAACTGGATACTCTGTCCATATCTGATCAGAGAAACAAGGGCAAGTTTCTTGAGCAGCTGAATTTAACACCTTTTATCCCATCACCTTCTACATGAGCCTCAGCCTAAAAACCAAGTAAAGAGTACATAAGTGAGACAAGAAACTTCTTCCCCTAATAATATTATATTGTAAAAAAATTATTTAATAAAATATGCATTTTTATTCAACCTATATACTTCACATTTAACTGGGGGAAAAATCTCACCTAGGCATTGCTGGTACAGACCTACAATCCCAGATATTCAGGAAGTTGAGCCAGAAGGATCTAAGTTCCAGACCTGCTTGGGATACAGACTAATTTCAAGGTCAACCCAGGTAGCTTGGTATGACCTTGCTTCAAAGTAAAAAATATAGCCAGGTATGGTGGCAAATGCTTTTAATCCCTTGGGAAGCAAAGCAAGACAACTCTCAGGATAACATGGTCTACATAGCCATTTCTAGGTCAGTCGGGGCTACATAGTGGAACCCTATTCAAAAAAAAGCACATATATGTGTGTGTAATGGAGATATAGTAGTATGTATCTCTGTAATATGTACACACACACATATACATGGACTGGAAACAGTAGTAGCACATTTGGGTTCGACCCCTAGTACCGACATAAAGTGTGTGGGTGAATCTTCATTGTCAACAACCCTCTTCATAATGACCTTCCTATAACACTTAACCTCCTTACTTTTATAAATTTTATATGGCTTCAAGAGTAACCAAGAACAAGGGGCTGATGAGTTGACTCAGTGGTTAAGAGCACTTACTGGCTGCTCTTAAAGAGGACCCAGATTCAATTCCCAGCAACCACATGGAAGCTCACAACTCTCCCTAACTTTAGTTTCAGAGGATCTGACACCCTCCTCTGGCCTCTGCCAGCACCAAGCATCCAACTGATACACATACATTTTGCATCCATACATATAACAATTTTAAAAGGGGGACAGAAACAGACACAATGTGAATGATTGCCTTGACTTCCTTTAAAGTTGGTAAGCATGTGCAGCAATGGCAGTTCAAACATTATGTAATAAAACTACAAGTTTGTCAGTGCGATATTAAGGTTTTATTTACTCTGTCTCCCATAGAATGTGATGAACTATAACTGAGAGTTATCCCATCTGCTTGTGTTTATACATACTCACAAGGCCATAGCTTTTAGCCGACACTTTTTCAGATGATAAGGAAGGAATACACACAAAACCTTAGGGGCAATAAAATGTCTCCCCCTATAGAAACGACTGTCTGAGATGAAGTTAACATTAAAACCCAACCAATGTTTTTGTGTGTTAATTGGTTGGGTGGGTTTTTCTGAGGCAGGTATCTGTATGTAACTATGGCTTGTCCTGGCACTCGCTGTGCAGAACAGGATAGCCTGGAACTCATAGAGATCCACCTGCTTCTGCCTCCTCAGTGCTGGGATTAACAGTGTGTGCTACCTCACCCAGGTAAACTAACCAATGTTGTTGGAACAGTTACACATAGTGCCTTGCCATGGATAAGAATTCAACATTTTATTCATCTGCTGAATAAATGAATAAGCAACTAGAGTATTCCTGAGGACAAAAGGACAAAACTCCAATGCTAAGAACATCATATACCTTTTACAAAAATAGAAACAGATGTCTCTGTACCATGAGGTTTATCTGTCACATAAAGGGACTAAAACATAGTCACAAAAATGTTGCCAGTCTCTATGTCAAAGTACTCCAAATAGTGACCAAGAAAACATGGCCCATGCCTGAAAGCCCAAAGTGTCAAAGAGCTAGAGCTACAATACTATAACACACACACACACACACACACACACACACACACACACACACACGGTAAGCTACACTATGATAGTACCAAAGGCGGATAGGAAAAATGAAGGTGGGCAGGGCAGGGGTTAGGGGAGGGGCATAATGTTGAGAGCTAGGCAGCAGACAGAAATGATTGTGTGAGAGAAAGTGTATGTGTTTGGGTCGAGAGCTGAGAAAGCACTATCTTGAGAAAAGAACGGTAGGGCAAAAGTCCCGAGGCAAGGGAAACCCTAACCACGAGGGCTGTATATCAAGGAAAATTGCAAACCAAAAGTTTTGCAAGAGATGTATACAGTTTTCAAAAGCTCAGCTAAGAATTCATAACTACTTCTCACCCTCAGGAAGACCTACCTACCAAAGACATGGTAGTCAGTGGACCTCAGGAAAAGCTCTCTTGCGGCATACAGCTACCATCCTAGCACTCAGGAGGCCGGGGCAGAAAAACGGAGTTCCAGCAATAGAACGAGGGCACACTAGGGGGAGGGGAGTGACACTATGCGTCTCTGCCAGGGGAATCTACACTTTTAACAAGCATCCTCCTGCACAGCTAAACCGGAGAGACACTCACGGACCTCTGGAGTGAAGATTACCTCCGTTCACAGTTACCAAACCTTACAACACCCCGGAACCACTAGGGGATCTCCAGAAAGATACTGCTATTTGGCTCCCCCCTCCCAGGCATAGTGGTTTAATTAGTTTGGGGTGCTGTGGTACCTGGAATCTTTTCAAAACTCTCAAGTAGGTTTTTACCGTGCATCGAAGTTGGAGCTCCTATGACCTAATTGTTAAGAACCTGAACTGGACTGTCAAGGCTGCTTGAGTTCAAATTGCCCCAGCTATATGACCTTGGGCACCGAAGGCGCCCGATCGCTCTGGGCCTCGACTGCCTGGTCGAGAGAATGGGGTAACAGTCCTGCCATGCAGAGTGGTGAAGTTCCCTGTCTAGCCTGGGCCTGGCAGACAGCAAGCGCTTGCTAAGGGTGGCTGTTTACTCTCCCCACGCGTCACCGTGCCCCCGGCAGCAGCATCCTCACCGGACGGCAGCAACTCCACCAGCCCTGCGGTGGACCGCATTCTCCTCCGAGTTGCCGCCGCCACTCCAGACCCGCCCCCGTCCCCAGGCTGCCAGGGGCGCGCGCGGCCAGTCCGACCCTCCAAGGTTCGCTCACAGCCGGCAGAAGCCGCGGGCCAGGACTGCGCTCCCGCGCCCGGTGCGTCCGCTTCAGAATTCAGAAATGAGCTTGCCGAGGCCCGGCCAGGAGAGCAACGGAGGGCAAGAGGGCCCCCGCCTCAGTGACCGCCGGAGGAAAAAAAAAAAAAACAGCGAGAGGGGAGGGTCCGGCCGTGCCGGCCGCCGCGTACCTGAGGCGACGGGCGGGGCCCGCATCGCTGGGCGGGCGCACCGCGGGCCGCACTCGGCCTGCCGCCTCACGCGACCCGCGCCATCGGGCCCGCGTTGCCACCGCCCAGGCCGGCCCTCCTCCGGCGGTCGGTCCGTCCACCCGTCGGTGACTCTCACAGGGCGCCCGGGGGACGACGAAGACCGGTCTCTCGGCCGGCCGGCTGGGCTCCCTTCAAGCAACTTCCGACTGCCAGGGGCGGTGGCGTCAAATAATTCCCCAGCCGGAGGGACTACTGCGCCTGCGCGGCGCGCCTGACTTCGGAGGGAACCGAAGGGCGGCGTCAAATAAATCTCGAGACCAGGAGCCGGAAGCTGCGCGTGCGCAGCCGTCCCAGAGGGCTGCGCGAAGCGCGACTACACACCCCCTCCCTTGCGGGCTCCAGTGGAGAGGGAGGAGTGAAGTGACGGGGCAGTTACTTCATCGCGGTGCGGGCTCAGGAGGCAGCCCGGCTTACGGTTGTTCTCAGTGCGGAAGAGTCAGGATCTTCTCTGCGAAAAGCCGGCTGCCATTCAGGCTCAAGGAATATCTCGCAGGCCAGCACTGTAGCTCTTCCTTTGCTCAGCCCCTTATTACATGGGCGAGCAATGCCCTCGCCAGGCCTGGTGTGCTTAATGTTAAAAGGATGAATCAGACTTAAGATTCAGCACCTGTCATCAGCGAGTTGCATCCGATCTAGCAGATAAGATATTAATAGCGAGAGGTACAAGTTTTAGCACCTGCACTGTGCCGGACGTTTTGCGACCAGTACCACTTTCAGTAATTTGGCTTCAAATCCCACGAAGAAAGTAACAGCGTTAGAAAGGTACTCCCCATGTCAGGCTGGAAGGAAAGAGGGAGGGTGACGTCTACATGGAGGGCCTGTGGTGTTGGTTGTTTTGCTCCTACTCTTTTGGCTTTTTGGGGGGGGCTGCCACCCAGTTCCCAAATAAATCACACACAGAGGCTTATTCTTAGTTATGAACGCCCCGCCTTAGCTTGGCTCGTTTCTTACCAGCTTTTCTTAAATTATCCCGACTATCTTTCGCCTCTGGGCTTTTCCCTTTTTTCACTTCTGTTTATCTTACCGTCACTCTTACTCCGTGGCTGGCTGTGTGCCTGGGTGGCTGACCCCTGACTTTCTCCTCCCTTTGTTCTCTCACTGCTCCTTGTCGTCCAAGATTCTCCTATTTATCCTCTCTGCCTTCCAGCCTCTATCTATCCTTACTCCTGCCTTGCTGTTGGCCATAGCGCTTTACCAGACCATCGGGTCTTTTAGGCGGGCAAAGAATCAGCTTCACAGAGTTAAACAAATGCAGCATGAACAAATGTCACACACCTTACAATAATATTCCCCAACAGACCTGCCCTTGTGACTGAGGTGGGAGAGTCAGTATGTCAGGTTGTGCAAAGGGCACATGTTTGTGTGGAAAGAGCAGAGAAATTAGTGACTCTCACCCTGGACCACAGTAGGAGTGAAGAAGAAACCAGTTCCCTTGTGGAAGAGATAAAACAAGAATTTCTTCAAGACCACAAGCCCCACCTACCCCCAGGAAAGTAGCTAAAGGGAGGAAGAGAGGAACGGTGGGTAAGAATGTGCCAGTACAGTGTGTAGATGAAACAATATAGTTTAATTAATCATAGTTTTGACAAATGCTTTAAGAAAGTCAGTCAGGCAGTGGTAGCACACGCCTTTAATCCCAGTGCTCGGAAAGTAGACATGCAGATCTCTGTTAGTTCGATGCCAGCCTGGCCCATACTGCGGGTCCAGGACAGGCTCCAAAGCTACAGAGAAACCCTGTCTCAAAAAACGTAAAAAAAAGAAACTCAATCATTCCTCCAAGCGTCTTTCTTTCCCTTTTTTACACTACAGAGGCCAAAAAGCAAATACCCCTTGCCCGTTGACAGAGTGTAGCAGTGTCCTAACCCCTAAAGCATAAACCAAAGTTCCAAGAGAGACCTGGGCTATACAGGAAGTCCTAGAGAAAACTGTGTCCTTCAACTTTCCCCTACTTCATGATTGGAACCATGATATCAAACAATACCAGGAGATGTAGCGGTCATTTTGAGACCTCGAGAAAGACTTTACTAAGAAGTATAAAATGAGGCAAGGAAGCCTGCTTTTTTAAGATATACTGAGGTAGATGCACAGCCCCTGTACTGCCTTTCTGCCTTAAGGAGGGAGTGGTGGATCTGATTTAGACCTCTCGCGACCACATTCCAAACACTGTGATTATTGGACATCTAGAGTAAATCAGTTATGAATGATAGATTTGAAGAGCAACAGGTGATAGGAGTTGGAAAAGTGACAGACACAGAGGACTTGAAACCTTTTTAAAGTTCATGGGATGTAGCTTAATAGGTAGAGTGCTTGCTTGGCATGCATGAGGTCCTGGGTTTGCTTCTCAGCACTGCACAAACCAGACATGGTAGCATAGTCATCTTTTAACTTGTCACACAGAGTATGTTAGGCCAGCTTGGGCTACATGAAATCACGTCTCAAAAAGAAAAGAATACTTGGGAAAGCGAAGATAACCTCTGCCTCTCCACCTTGAGACTTTAATTCATGGACAACATTGTTCCTTAAAGGAAAACCATTTGGGAGGGGTGTTTCCATTACTTTAGGGAAAAGAAGTTATGTTCCATTCTGACTTGAGGCACCTAGACGTTTTTATCATTTTTATTTCACAAAAGAAAATAATGTAAAAGAGAAGTAAAGCAAATAGAAGTTTTAAAACTCATAACTACCCAGCTACAAATTAGCTTGTTGCTTTTTCTGGTCATTTTCATACATATATCTATAACTGCACTTGCCACAGTGGATACAGATTTGAACTCAATAACATGTAATTTATATCGTATTTTGATATTCTTTTTGACTGACACCTAGTAATTGTACATGGTACACATATTTATGAGGTCCAGTGTGACATTTCATTGTGTACATGTATTCATATAAACAACTGGTAATGAACAGATAGGATGCCTTAATTTAGAATCTTGTTGCGGTAGTAAAATACCAGCAAACAGCTTAGAGGAGCAAGGGTTTCTTTTCTTCACAATTCCACGTTACCGTCCATCATTTGTGGGGAAGCTGAGGCAGCAGGAACTTGAAGCAGCTAGTCACACCAACTGTCAAGAACAGAGAGAGAGAGAGAGAGGGGCTGAAGAGATGGCTCAGTGGTTAAGAGCACTGACTGCTTTTCCAGAGGACCCGGGTTCAATTCCCAGCACCCACATGGCAGCTCATAACTGTCAGAAGATCCAGTTCCAGGGGATCTGACACCTTCACACCAATGCACATAAAATAAAGTTAAATAAACCATATATATATATATATATATATATATATATATATATATAAAAGAACAGAGAGAGAACGAATGCACGCATGTTTATGATCAGCCCAGTTCACTCTTACACAGCCCAGGACCCAAGCCTGAGAGAATGGTGCTACCCACAGCGGGCTGGGCCCTCCTCTCCCATATCAATTAAATGTCAATAGGATCCTCCACAGGACAATCTGATCTGGACGATCTGTCTTTTGCTGAGACTTTTCTCAGGTGATTCTGGATTGTAGCAAGTCGACAATGAAAACTGACCATCACAGGGGGTAATTAGCGTATCTATTATCAGATATACAGTAGTGTGTGTGTGTGTGTGTGTGTGTGTTGGGAGCATTAAGTTTCTCTTCACTAGGTATTTTGAAGTATTTCACTAACTATTATCAACCATGGTCATCCCACTATGCAAAGTAGAACATAAGTTGCTCCTACCCAGCTGCATCTCGGTACCATTAGTTGCCCTTCCCATGTACCCTCTACTTTGAGATTAACTTCCTAGCTGCCATGTGTATATAAGGATGTGCAGTGTTTGCCTTTCTGTGCCTGTCTTATTTTTCTTCTCATAACGACATCCAATTCTTCCACCCACGTTGTTGTAAAGGGTGGAATGTCATTCTCTTTACGGTTGTTTGCTATTCCATTGGGTATTGTACTGGCTGGATTTGTGTGTCAGCTTGTCACAAGCTAGAGTCATCAGAGAAGTAGTCTCAGTTGAGGAAATGCCTCCAATAGAGAGCCTAACTAAGACCGGTCTGCATGCTACACTTTCTTGACTCATTCGTGCATCAGTAGACACTGAGGCTGGTTCCATATCTTGGCTGCTGTGAACGGTGATACCATAACATGCGAGTGTAAGTGTCCCTTTAACATTCTGATTTCAATTCCTTTAAATATGTTCTCTCCCAGCAGGAGGGTGGTTAGATCAGATTTTTTTATGTTGTTTTACAGGAACTTTCCACAATATCTGCAGTAATTTACATTTCCTCATATCCTCATACAGTGTATGAGAGTTGCCTTTCTCTCTGTCCCATCAGCACTACCTTTACTCTTTTTAATTTTTAAAATGTTTTATTTTGTGTGTATGGATGTTTTGCTTGCATGTATGTCTGTGTACCACTTTTGTGACTGGTGCCCACGGAGGCCAGAACAGGGTGGATCACAACTGTCAGAGGTAGTTCAGGCAGTTATGAGCCACCACATAGGTTCTAGGACTCAAACCCTGTCTCCTATAAAAGCAGGCAGTACTCAACTAATGAACCATCTCTCCAGCCCTACCTTTAATCTCTTTTATAATAGCCATTCTAGCAGGGCGGTGGTGGCCCACGCCTTTAATCCCAGCACTCGGGAGGCAGAGGCAGGTGGATCTCTGTGAGTTCGAGGCCAGCCTGGTCTACAAGAGCTAGTTCCAGGACAGGAACCAAAAGCTGTGGAGAAACCCTGTCTCGAAAAATCAAAAAAAAAAAAAATAGCCATTCTAAATTGGATAAGATGACATCTTCCTATGGTTCCTGTGTAGTTCTTGACAGTTCCCCAATTAATCTTTCTTTCATAGACTTTTTTGTTAGCCAT